GGGGTAGTGTTAGGATCAAATATGTGATGTGATCTAGTACCAAAAGCAAAAATAAACAAGTGGGACTACATCATACTAAAAAACTTCATTACAGCAATGGAAACAACCAACAAAATGAAAAAGCAGACTAGAAATAACAAGTGTTGCCGAGGATGTAGAGAAAAGGGAATCCTTGTGCACTGTTGGTGCGATTATAAATTGGTGCAGCCACCATGAAAAACCATATAGATCTTCTTCAGAAGACTGCAAAATAGCCCACAGATCAAAAAATAGTGGCTCAGTGGTTGAGCTTCAACTTATGAACGAGGAGGTCACAGTTAGATTCCTGGTCAGGGCACATGCCCGGTTTGGGGGTTTGAATCTCAGTAGGGGGTGTGCAAATGAAAACCACTGTGAGATATCAACTTACACCTGCTAGAATGACTATTATCAAAAAGACTAGAAATAACAAGTGTTGCCGAGGATGTAGAGAAAAGGGAATCCTTGTGCACTGTTGGTGCGATTATAAATTGGTGCAGCCACCATGAAAAACAATATAGAGCTCTTCAAAAGACTGAAAAATAGCCCACAGATCAAAAAATAGTGGCAGTGGTTGAGCTTCAACTTATGAACTAGGAGGTCACAGTTAGATTCCTGGTCAGGGCACATGCCCGGTTTGGGGGTTTGAATCTCAGTAGTGGGCATGCAGGAGGCAGCCGATCAGTGATTGTCTCTCATCACTGACATTTCTATCTCTCTCTCCATCTCCCTTCCTCTCTGAAACCAATAAAAATATATTTAAAAAAATAGATCTACCCTTTGATTCAGCAATCCCACTTCTGGGTATTTATCCAAGGAAAACAAAAACATGAATTCGAAAAGATATATGCACTCCTATGTTCACTGCACCATTATTTATAATAACCAAGATATGGAAGCAATCTGAGTGTCCATCGATAGATGAATGGATAAAGAAAATGTCACAACACACACTCACACACACACACACACACACACACACACACACACACACACACTGGAATATCATTCAACCATAAATAGAAGGAAATCTTGCCATCTGTGACAACATGGATGCACACTGAGGGCATTATGCTAAGAGCAGTAAGTCAGACAGACAAAGACAAATGCTGGATGATCTCACTTGTCTGTGGAATGTACAAAGGAAAACAAACCAACCCCAAACCAAGCTCACAGATACAGATAACAGCTTGGTGGTTGCCAGAGGCAGGAGTGGAGGGTGGGGGAAATAGGCAAAAGGGGTCAAAAGGTACAAAGTTGTAAAATTTATGGGAATGTAACACCCAGCATGGCGACCACGGCTCACAGCCCCGGACTGCATATTTGAAAGCTGCTAGAAGAGTAGATCTTCTTTAAAAATGTGTGGCATGAAGCACTCTAAGGACTATACTCTCCTGCCTCCCCTCCCCTTCTCTCTCTGTCTTGACTCAGCTTCTAAGATGCATCTTTCTCTGGACTTCGCTGGCACCCTGGACACTGGCACAAGTTAGGCAACTTTAGCTGCAAAAACCAGCTACCCCTCGAGCTCTCTTGAATAATGTTTAACTGCCTGGAACAGTAAGGAAATTACTGGCTCACCATAACCAGCAGTCTAGAGGGAGGGCAGATTTCAGGACTGGCTTCATCCCCACGCTGGGTTCGAGATGGCTGGGGCCGCTCCCGGAACCACATCTAGAGAAAGAGAGAAAGAGTTACTTCCAGGAACCCTCCTGGAAAAGGGAGGACCACTTCTCAGAACCGCTCCCCAAACTCTCTTTGCACCTCATTTCCCCAGTGTGGTCACACGCCTATTCTAGCCAACCATCAGCAAGGTGGGTGAACTTACCTTCCGATCAGTGGATCTCAACTGGGGTGATTTTGCTCCCTCTCCCTCTCCCCAGACCAAAGACACTTGGCAATATCTAGAGACACATTTGATTGTCACCGTGGGGACAGGGAAAGCATATGCCACTGGTGCACATTTGGTAGAGGCCAGGGATGCTTCTAAACACCCTACAATGATAGGACCCCTGTGCCCTGTCAACAGTGCTAAAGTTGAGCAACCCTGTTTTAGACCAACCAGCCCCTCACTTGGAGCTAGGGGTACGGTTACAGATCATGAATGCATGGGCGAGGAGTGGCTACCTGAACAAAACTGACATGCATTTAGGGGCGAGAAGGGGAAGATGGATTTGGATGGACCAACCAACCAGGTATGCTGCAACTTCGCTCCATCAGAGCACTTACTTCATTGTTTGTCGATTCCGTGTTAGTTTTCTATTGTTGTGTAAGTAACTGCCATAAACTCAGTGTTGTAAACAACACCGACTTGTTACCTCATAGTGTCCGTGGGTTACAAGTCTGGGCCTAGTGTCTGTGGCTCAATGCTGTGCTCAGGGTCTCACTGGGCTGACATCAAGGTGTTGGCAAGGGCTGCCCTGCTCCTCTGGGGCTCAGGTGCCTCTTCCAAGCTCATTCTGTGGTTGAATTCAACTCCTTGTGGTTGTAGGACTGAGGTCCTTGCTGGCTTGTCAGTTGGGGGCAGCTCCCAGAGGCCAGCAGTATTCCTTACCCTGTGGTCCCCTCTATTGTCCAGCTAACAATGGTGCCTAAAGTCCTCCTCATGCTTTGAACCTCTGACTTATCCTTCTGCCACCAGTGAAAACTCTACTGTTAAAGTGCCCATGTGCTTAGGGCAGGCCCATCCAGATAATTTCTCCTCTTAAGGTTAATTAACCTGGAACCTTAATTACATGGGCCAAATCTCTTCACAACAGTACCTATATTGGTGTTTGAATGAATTACTGGAATAAGATGTATCTGTGTGTTCCTGGCTTTTAGCAGAATACTTGGAAAATATGGTTTTCTCAATAGATATCATTTGGACAGATAAAAAAGAATGAAATCAATGTATTTCCTTTTTTTGAAAAAAAAATAGAATTACCAGACTGGTCACTCAGGGAAGTGTTATAAACCGAGAATGGTATAACCTTGGTGTTAGGTGGTACATACGGTCACAGAGGACTCTGTCAATCATTCCAGAAATGCACATTTTCACAGATGAGATCCGCATTTCATCAGATCAAGAGCTCCCTGATTCCCAGCCCCGTGGCCTTGACAATGCAGACTAATTTCTTGCATTGCCTTCTTGGCAGAGCTGGCAGGCTGCTGACTCATATTAAATTTGCAGTTCCCTTCAAGCCTTCCTGCAGTAGCTGGTCTGGTGCCAGGTCTCTCCCATTTTGTACTTGGGCAGGGCTTTATGCCGCTTCTTCCTGCTCATTGTCAGGCCATGGGTTCTGTCCTATCATTTCAGCCTGTGGGAGACCTTTGGGAATTCAGATTTTATTATCCAACTTCTTGGCTCTCTTGTCCAAGTCGATAGCACTTGACAATGTAATCAGCACATTTTCTTTGTTCAAATAGTTTATGGTAAATGAGGCAAGGCCAAACTCAAAATCCCGGGGCCTGGTCCTTCTTTCAAGTTGACAACAATGATTTAATCAGCACTCTTTGCATTAGGATTGCTCAACGTAGGATGAATCAACTCTTACTTTCCTTTCTCTATCGTATCTACAGGCATATTATGAAAGACTTAAATGCTTTGGCAGAACCTGTGCTGTACAGAGTAACACCATTCAATTCTATTCCTAGAAACAAATATGCATCTTTTGCAATCAGGTGTATGCACATGTCAAGAAATTCTCTTCTAAATTCTCAGATATGCCACGCCTTGGAGTGCTTCATGTTGTTCTGGGGCCTAGCCATAGGGGTCCTGTAACCCACAGGTTTCATTGATTGCCATCTAATATTTTCTCAGTAGCAGATGATTCTAGTAGCCTTTGCTGCTGATCTACAAGCTGGCCAGCTTTCCACTTCCTCGTCTCCATGGTTTATGGGAATTCCCACTTGAGAACAGAAGCGACTGTCCTGGCTTGTAAGGATTAAAGACTGGGCTGCAAGGTAGGAGCGTATGACACAGCCCCGTGTTGAACGGATTCCCATTGCGGTGCCTGGTTATTCCCCGTGTTTTCTTTCTGGATCGATTCTTTACATTCCCACTTTCACCCAATTCTCCTTAATCATCACACTTTAGGGAAATCAAAATTCCTTTGTTCACAGGAAAAGGCTGGGGCTTCCTGAAAACTAGAGGTTTTTTTTATTAGTGCGTAGCCTTTTCTTTGGTGAAGGAATGGATGTTCCAGGGCCCCTAAATGGACCAATGAGCCCTAGCCGGTTTGGCTCAGTGGATAGAGTGTCGGCCTGCGGACTAAAAGGTCCCAGGTTCGATTTTGGTCAAGGGCATGCACCTTGGTGGCAGGCACATCCCGAGTAGGGGGTGTGCAGGAGGCAGCTGATTGATGTTTCTCTCTCATCGATGCTTCTAACTCTTTATTCCTCTCCCTTCCTCTCTGTAAAAAAATCAATAAAATATATTTAAAGAATAAAAAAAATATATGGACCAATGATAGAGGGATAGAGTTGCACTTGACACTTTCTTACTAGTAGAAGGTCTATCAACTTCGGGAGAAGAGAAAGTGAGCAGGGAATGATGCAGCTGTGATAGCCAGTCTTCAAGACAGCCCTCAGTGGTGTCTGCCTTCTGGTCTTCGTGGTCTGGTGTAGTCCCCTCCCATGCTGGACCGAGGTTAGCGAGAAGCCCAGCTCTCTCGCCAGCAGCTGTGTGAGGGACGTGCGAGGGGACCCTCCAGGCCTGGTCAGATCTTCAGAGGGCCGCAGCCCTGGCCGACAACTTGACTGAACCTCCAGAAAGACCCTGACTGGATGCTCCCAGCCAAGACACCCCTAACTGCCTGGTCCGCAGCGACTATATGAGGTCATGATTTTGGTTATTTTACAAATTGATGCTTCTCTCTCTCTCTTTTTCTCTCTCACACACACACAAACTAATCAATAAAAATTTAAAAAAAATAATGTTGGTTGTTCTGAGCTGGTAAATTCAGAGGTAATGTGTTGCAGCAACAGGACATTTACACACTAGGACAGAGATGTTTTAACTGGCGTGCCGCAAAGGTTTTCACAACATGAAATACCTGACTGTTCAGTCAGGGGCACAGACCACTTTTCCTTTCGAATGTCACATAACAAAACGACAACGGCCAACACAACAATAGCCATTTGGTGGGAATGAAGCAAA